CCTCATCCCTCCGTCCTCCCCCGCGCCCGGGGCCCCTCTGCGGCGGCAGCAGCAAGTTCAGCATCTCCTTCGCGCTCGCTTTACTCTCTGCCTCTGCACGCCTTCTTTTCTCCTTTCTTTTTCCTTTCCCCATTCTTCCGTTTTTAAAAAACTTTCCTTTTTCTTTTTCCCCTTCTTTTTCTTTTCCTCCTTTCTTTTCTCTCTCAGCTTTCCTGGTGTCCCATTAGCCTCCTCAGCCAGTGCCATCCTTACTGCCTGCTCCCATCACCTCCCCCTTCCCCGCTCACGTTCTGTGCTGTCAGGGCTCACATTGGGCTTTAGGTTTCTTTTCTACACCAAAAAGGGGCAGAAAGGCCACTGAACCCAGGGTGAACCTGGGTTTCCTGCACAATTTTGCCTACGAAGGAGTCCCAAGGCGCCTGGCTCCCGTTTTAGGCATCTTGACTAATTGCAGCATCCCAGTCATGCGTCCAGGGAACTCATTCTGCTTGGACTGACACCAAACTTGAAGCACTCTCCCTAAAAATTCCCGGGAAGCAGAAGCGGCTCCTTCATGACCACTTCCCTTAGGAACGGGTCCTTCGAAACGTCCACGCACATTTGCAGCCTGGGTGGTGGCCAACAAGGGCAGCTGCTCCACGCAAGAGAGGAACCAAAATATATCCTGTGAGCAACCACCAAGGCAAACAGAAGAAGTCTTTAGCAATAATAAACCCTTTATATTTACAGTGGTGTATCTTCCACAGTAAATATGTCAGATCAGCATAAACAGCACTAATACTTCTTGGATAGAAGGCACCAAATCCTTCCTCTGTGTCCGGGAAGCTCTTCAGCACTCCCTCCATCTATGTAGGTAGGTCACAACGTTTGACTCATGCACGGGCTCGTGATTCAAGCCTGAAAGGCAAGAATCAGAGATTTCATAGAATTGTAGAAGGTGTCCTGCATCCCTGAGCAGGAGCTGAGGTTTGGACATGGGTGAGGTGGGCATTCAACGAGGTGCAGGAAGGTGCATGCATCTTCCTGCTGGAGGATGCACCTTTCCAAAGAGGATCTCCTTGTCCTGGCAGCACAGAGCCCCAGGATGGGTTTCCTGCAGCCTTTGCCCCAGGCTGGACTCACAGGGTCCTTCAGTCCCCATTGCAATGGTCCAAAACCTAGATTAAGCCTTCAACTCATTTCTATGAACCTTCAGTGTGGTTCAACACCAGCAAGAAAACACCCAGATGTTCAAACCCATGGGGTTCTGGTGAACTTTTCTGCAACTTGCCACCCCTTCCTCTTGCACTTGTTTTAACCTCCGCTCACAGGCGGATGTTTGAAGTGCAGTCCGTGTCCAGTGCACTCTGGATGCACTCGGACAAATACTCTAAAATCAATCATGTAGAAAATAGACCTTGCACAAATCGACGCTCCTGTACACACTTCAGACTAAGCAATAAGCAGAAATAGCAGCTGCTCCAGCAACAGAGAGGGATTGCAGGACTCAGCCCTGAGCCAAACAGAAGAAGTCTTCAGCAATAATAAACATTTATCTTTGGAAAAGATTTTGCTATTTAAACAAATCTGAAGAGTGGAATTATTGAATCATTTAAGGCCTTAAATATTTTTCGTGTTGTTCAGTGAGATGCATAGAAAAATCAGAGAGAGAGAGCTCCCCAAACTGACCACCTTTCCATCTTCCTATGAACGGTTGTAGGGGATGTGACCAAGAGCATAAAGTTAAAGGCTCTTTTGTCCATGTTGCCATACTGTATTTCTACTGCCCTCGTAATAGTGTAAATCTCCTAAAAAGTTATAGTTACATCTGATAAAACCACATCCCCGGAGCAGACTGACGCTCTCCATTTTATCTCAATCTCCAGCTAATGCTGATTTCAGACCCACTTTTTTTATTCCAAGACTGGCCTCAACTCCCATTTTTACAAGCCCCCCTGAGCACAAGCCCTGGAAAACAGGGCAGGGTTTGCTGTGTTTGTATCCTTGGACGTCCACGGAGCGGAGGACAAAGGAGCCACCAGCCTGTGCTCGACTTCCCCGAGCATCTGCAAAGTCCTGGACAGGCTTCTCCTGTGTAGGATGAGAAATCCACCCAGAAAAATGGAATATTTGCAAGAAACACTGCTGTAGGGCCCGAGCTGCATCAGGGAACCCACACGATCCAGGTCCCAGCTCTTTTCCAAGCTCCGGTTGCAGGGCACCTTGCACATGCATCCAGCCCAGCAGCGTGAGCAGCAGCGAGCCTGGGGGAAAGCCTGTGCATCACAGGGCTGAAATGAATAAATGAATAAAGCATCAAAACGGGGTTGTGCCCACAGAGGGAGCACGAGCAGAGGAGAGCAAGGAGCAAGCACGAAGCGCACTTTGCCTGTCTGGCTCCTCCAGGAAGGCTGCAGCGATTGGACAGGCATCCCACTGCCGGATCAGTGATTACAGGCACTT